AACTTCAAGGCCAGTAGCTCACAGAGTTGAATTTTTGCTCACAAGACTTCACAGCTTAGAGGGAACATTGCTCCAGAGCAGACTCATTTACGCAGCGGCCAAGTGGCTCGCTCACAACTTTAATGCCAGGAGCTCACCAAGTAGAATCTTTGCTCCCAAGACTCCACAGCTTAGAGGGAGCACTGCCACCAGCAGAGGTAGCACGCACGAAAGGGATTGTTCCAAGCGGTGAGAAGCACTCCGTTCCCCTCCCCGCCGGCAAAAAAACTTGTGTATTTTTTATTTAAAATACAGAGGAGAAAACCTAAAAAGGAACTAAAAAAAATAAAAATAAAGTGAGGGAAGTCGGGGATTTCTGATCCACTTCTGAAAGAGTCCTAACCAGAGCAATCCCTTGGCAGGTGCCATTATGTTAGACAGTGGAAGGGGGAGAGAAGAAGAAGGGTGGGCGATCTACAGCTCTCCGCGCGCATGGCGCATGTAGTGCTCATGCAGTTCCGACACCAGGCCAAACTCCCCCGGGCACTCGGTGCAGTGGTACGGTCCATCAGCCCCGTCTGCGTCGTGCTCGCCGTTGGCCGCCCTCGGGGCAGGGGCAGGAGCAGGAGGGGGCTTGTTGCGGGGCGGGGCTGGAGGGCTGCGGCGCCAGCTGTGTTCGCAGCGGTGCGCCTCCAGCGAGGAGGGAGATGCGAAGCCCAGGCCGCACTCGGCGCAGATGTAGTGGAAAGCGCCGCCCCAGCTGGGAGGCGGAGCCGTTCGGCCTTCCCGGCTCTCGGGGTTGCCGGAAAGGGTCAGGGTCGGCGGCTTGGAGGAGGAGGAGCCGCTGTGTGGCCGCTTGCGCCCCACGTGGTAGCTGCGGTGCACCTTCAGGGCTCGGGACGTGCCGAAGCCGCGGCCACATTCGGGGCATTCGTGCCATTCGGGGCTGGGCGCCTGCGAAGAGCTCAGCCGATCGTGCCCGATCTCACCGCCTTCATCCACTGGTTCCCCTACGGCTCCGTGCGACTCTTTGCTTTGGGGGCCTAGTGAGACAACCAGAGGGGGGGAAACACAGTGAAGCAAGACACAGCTGTGATCCACCCGGTCAGCCCCTGCAGGACAGCTCCAGCAGCCACGTGGGGAACCTGTCTACCCTAAACCCTTACCCGTGTTCCTTCTAAGCTGAGTTAGCGCGAGCTAGGTCACGGTCCTTTTAGGCTCCGGCTCACACATTTTTGTCTTAGCTCAGGAAGGACAGCTCCAGGGCAAACTGATTCATGCCGCATCCAGATCGCTCGCTCACAACCTTAATGCCAGACTTTTTGCTCACAAGAACTCCGCAGCTTAGAGGGAGCACCGAACCCTAAACTCTAACCCCTAATCCTAAACCTAACCCTAAAACCCTAACCCTAAACCCCACAGCATGTTGGAGCTGGAAAATGCCAAACGTTGCAGGTTCGGTGAGCGGAATACATCACACTAAAGTAGCTTCCGCCTCCTTTCTTTGTCTCTGCGAGTTCAGTGCCGTCAAGTCGTTTCCGACGTATGGCGACCAGGCCCATAGCTAACGTGGGGCCCGTGGGGCCCGTCCCCCTCCCGCTGTTTGGCGGGGCCCCGATCTTCGGCACCCCCTCCCTCATCCCCTGATCAAGCTGAGCCGGCATCTCCCTGTTTGCGCTTGTCTGAGATAAGCCGAGTCTCTTTAGGACCCAGCAGCAACCGGTGGTTGACTGAGTCACACACCCATTGGTCGGATTGCCGCAGTTGGCTCCTCCTGTTGGATTTTCTGCACCAGGCTTCAGAAAAGATCCTCGGCTCAGGGAAGGAGTGAGGGAGGAAACTCGATCCCCGCTCTCCTTTTTTAAAAGAAACAGGGCAGCTATCCTAGACCTTTGTGTCTATGAACCTTGGGATCCTGGCTCGCCTCAGAGGAAGGCTCTAGTGGGGGCTGTGTGCGTGTGCGCCAAGCAGACCCCCCCTTGCCCTGGAGCCTTTGATGTAATTAGCTGGTGGCCCCCCCAAGGTCCCCTCCCCCCAAAATCCCTAGCTACGGGGCTGATGGCGACCCCATGAATGAATGACCTCCCGAACGTCCCAGCCTCAATAGCCTTGCTCAGGCCTTGGAGGCTGGGGGCCTTTGTGGCTTCCTTGACGGAGTCAATCCATCTCATCCATCTCATCTTGGCTCTCCCTCTTTTCCTTCTGCCTTCCACTTTTCCTAGCATTATTGTCTTTTCCGGCGACTCTCGTCTTCTCCTAATGTCACCAAAGCACGGTAGCCTCAGTTTGGTCCTTTTAGCTTCTAGGGAGAGTTCGATCTAGACTCCTTTGTTTAGGAGCGGAGCAGGGCGGGGGGGAGATCCCACCCCCTGCGTAGTCCTGGAGCTTCTTCCTACCCGGCAGACCCAACCTTCCAATCCGGAAGCCCTACTACGTAATTGTCAAGTGTGGGATTGGAAATGCGTGGCCAGGTGCTCTCTCTGCGATTGTTACTGATTTTATGGCCAGAGCGCCGAACTGCCGGCCTGCATAAAGGTTCTCAGCTGGGCCCTGATTCGAATGAACTCCCTGAACCCAACCCCCCCCAAATTTCCTCTTATCAAACAGCCTTTTGTTACTGGGCGCTTTGGCCGACCTGCCTCTGACTAGGCCCGTTCAAATCCTGGTGCCTGCAGGGGTCATTTCCTGCAGGAGCGCACAGGAGCGGAGCTCCGGCAGTAAAGAGCCCAGGGGGCGGGCACATGCAACCCTCGGTCCCAGCAGCCCTCAGTCAGAGCAAGAAGCAGCCAGGTAAGTTTCAGGTCCCAGCAGCCCTCAGTCAGAGCAAGAAGCAGCCAGGTAAGTTTCAGGGCTCTACAAAATGACCCCTGGGTACCTGGATAGCCATTTGCAGACGGAGTTGGGGGGCCGCTGTCTCCGGAAGATACGGAAGTTGTTTCGGAGTCTTCCTCTTCTTGCATGGTGGGGACACCTGGAAGAATCAGAGCGTGACTGGCCAAACGCAACCCCGGGACGTTTGTTGGCGACTCAGTCTAGGACTACATTTCATTTATTTGTTAAATTTAACTTGTCAGGCCGCCTTCCCCTGTGAGCAGAGCGCAGGGCGGCTTACATCAGTACAAATACAGCTTAAAACAGTATTAAAATTCAACAGCCACAATAAAACAGTACAATCCAGGACGGAAAGTAAATCTCTAATACCCCCTGGGTTAAGTAAGATACAGAACAGAGGGAGGAAGGGGGGAGGGCCAGGCCGTCGCTGCCCGCAACCAAATGCCTGGCGGAACATCTCTGCCTTGGAGGAGGAGGAGATTGGATTTATACCCCACCCTTCACTACCCGAAGGAGTCTCCTTTCCCTTCCTCTTACCAGCATACACACCCTGTGAGGTAGGCAAGGCTGAGAGAGCTCCTGAGAGAACTGCTCTTGAGAGAACAGCTCTGAGAGAACTTGTAACTGACCCAAGGTCACACCAGCAGCTGCATGTGGAGAGGTGGGGCATCAAACCCGGTTCTCCCAGATTAGAGTCCGTGCTCCTAACCACTACACCAGACTGGCTCTTAGAGACCAACAAGATTTTGGGGTATAAGCGTTCCACAGTCAAAGCTCCTTTCCTCAGACGAGTGTTATCTGACAAAGGGAGATTTGACTCCCAAAACCTTGACCGTCTCTAAGGTGCTGCTGGATTTGACTGGAGTGCTTCCACTGGAGACCAACAGGGCTGCCCTCCGAAACTGTGCATATACGCACACTCAGAAGACAAAGGTCCTTATAGTACTGATATGCTAGATAGCCTGTGTCCATCCTCCACATGCGCCTTTCCGGATGCCCTCGCTTCTTAAATGCCTTCAGCCTTCAGTTCTTGACACGGCTGCCCATCTTCATCTGTCTCCAAGGAAGGCACACAGAATGGAAAGCAATCCACCCTGTGCCGCTTTCCAATAACTAGGACAGACGGACTCCCATTCTAGCAGTATCTGAAGAAACGAGCAGTGGCTCACGAAAGCTCACCCCCCCGCCACAACTTTTCTTAGTCTTCAAGGTGCTACTGGACTCTCGCTCTTTTCTACTGCTTTTTTGTTGCTGTTCAGTCGCACAGTCGAGTCCGACTCTTCGCGACCCCGTGGACCAGATTACGCCAGGCCTTCCTGTCTTCCGCCGTCCTCTGAAGTTGGCTCAATTCCATGTTCGTTGCATCTATGACACTGTCTAACCATCTCATCCTCTGCCGTCCCCGTCTTCTTTGCTACAGACGGACTAACACGGCTGCCCGTCTCGATCTTGTTCGATTCTTAACGGCTCTCATGAGCTTCAAAGTTTATTTCACGTACATGTTATTCAGAGAGTGCACCTAAGATCTTCAAGGGTTTCGTTTTAGATCTGGCGCCTTTGAGAGTCAAAAAGAGGGGGGGGAGTTTAAACTAAGCTTCTCAGCACTCTGAGGTCTGTACCGAGTGTCACTTTTTCTGTCCTCATACAGAACCGAGGAATATACAGGGAGCCTGTTTAGCGTGGCAGATGGCAATCTGGGAGAACCAGGTTTGACTCCCCATTCCTCCACATGCAGCCAGCTGGGTGACCTTGGGTCAGTCACATTTCTCTCAGTGCTGTTCTCTCAAGACCGGTTCTCTCGGAGCCCTCTCAGGCCCACCTACCTCACAGGGTGTCTGTTGTGGGGGAGAGGAAGGGAAAGGAGATTTGAAACCACTCTGAGACTTCACGTGAAGGGCAGGGTATAAATCCAACTCGTTTTCGTCTACACATCAGCGTCCTTTGAAACTCATAACATGAGACATTAAGTGATTTTTAACTTAAGCCACCCAAAAGTCTCACAGAAGTCATTTGGTCCTGAATGATGCGCAAGCTCTGGTGAGTCTCCAAAGGAACAGTGTTCCTCTGTTGTGAGATGGAGGCAGCAGAAAACGCCTTTCTTCTTGCTATACCAACTGTGCGCAGAGATGGAATTTCTGATGGGTTTGACAATGTGGCGCAGTGTCTAAGGCTCTGGGAGTTTATTTACAAAAATTTTATCAAAGGAAACTTCAAAATCTCTCCTCAGCGGTGAAGCTTCACCCTTTCTCAACCGGACCTACCTCAAGAGGCTGTTGTTGCGACAAAGACTAAAAAAAAAATTAGATGATGCCAAACATGCCATGGATAGGAATGGAGCAAAAGCCTTTTTTGGTCATTAAGAGAGCCTGGTGGACCCAGGGGAGTGGGGTCACACATCCATGGGACACCAACCAGTCTCAAAGTGAATGTTCTTAAGCCTAGGGTAGCTAATGCAGTCCCCCTCAACCTGGATGGTCCAGCCTAGCCCGATCTCATCAGGTTTCAGAAACCAAGCAGAGTCGGCCTCGGCTAGTACTTGGATGGGAGACCACCACAGGAGGAAGGCAACTCTGAATGTCTCTTGAAAACCCTGCAGGGTCATCATACGTCACCTGCAACTTGACAATACTTTCCTCCACCACCACCTAATGCCCATAGGTCCATAGCAACCAGACCCACTTTTTCCACCTAGAGCAGTATTACCCAGGGGTCATTTCCTGCAGGAGCGCACAGGAGCGGAGCTCCGGCAGTAAAGAGCCCAGGGGGTGGGCCCATGCAACAAGCCCCGCCCCCTGCTCCCAGCAGCTCTCAATCAGAGTAAGAAGCAGCCAAGTAAGCTGCAAAGCCCCCCCGTCGGTCCCCTGGTCCAAAACAGTCCAGTGGCACCTTTAAGACCAGGTTTTATTCAGGTACAAGCTCTCCCGCCTCTGCGAGGACAGATCTGCACATCCCCCCCCCCCAATAGCTAGCAATCCAAAACAGCCCAGTGGAGCCTGAGCGGGGGGCAGGGCTTTTTTTGTAGAAAAAGCCCAGCAGGAACTCATTAGCATAATAGGCCATACCCAACAGCAGGAACTCATTAGCATATTAGGTCACACCCATGAAAGCACAGCTCATTAGCATATTAGGCCACACTCCCGTGTTACCAGAAGTGTGGTCATCCAGCCACACCCACCTTTTGCTTCTTATTCTGTTTACCTTGTTTGTTGTCAAAACCCAGGGCTTCTTTTGGAGCAGGAACTCCTTTGCATGTTAGGCCACATACCCCTAATGTAGCCAATCCTAATGAGTTCCTGCTGTTGGGTGTGGCCTATTATGATAATGACTTCCTGCTAGGTGTGGCCAACTTGGGAGCCAGCCGGAACTCCGTTCCTGTGCGTTCCTGCCCAAAAATAGCCCTGGCGGTGGGTGTTGCCTGCTGACACACTTCCGGTGATGTCAGGGGGTGTGGCATATGCAAATACGTTATGCTAATGAGTTATGCTAATGAGCCCCTGCACCTCTTTTTCTATGAAATGACCCCTGGGATTACCTACTCTGACCAGCAGAAACCCCCTGAAAAGAGCACTCCCATCCTCTGTGGCCAGTTGACTGGTGTTGGAAAGAACTGAAGCTGGGTCTTCCAGCACACACAGCGGCAGCTCCCGACAGTCCACCTCCTTAAAAGTGCCAGGCCCCAGGGATGGAGCCCCACAGAGATAATGGCGCAAGACAGCTTCCCTGGCTCTTTACCACACACGGCAGCCTGCAGTCGGGAACCGGAGGACCAACACCTGATCTAACTCACGTCTGTTCTTAGCTCTGTCTACAGATGGATGTTGTGGAAAGACCTACTGGTAAACCACATGGAAGTTATGAAATAACACAGCAGGAGCCCACAGAAAGAGAGCCCCAAAAAGGGTGGAATGACCCCCCCCCAAAAAAAAGAACCCCAAGTGATGCTTGGTCCCCTTGCAGTGCAGTGAATAAGGAAAAGAGGAGGACTTTATCAAGCTACCTGTGTCTTTCTCTGCAACCTAGCTCCCCCTAGTGCCCAGGTGAAGCCACTGCAGCACCTGCCAAAGTTAACGGTGACACACAAACCTTACAGCTATAGATGCTGTCATCCAGACTACGCTCCAGTTATTCTCGTAGGCAAGAGGCAGATCCACACACCGCTTTTGCATGCCTGCTGGTTTCTAACTTGGCCAAGGAAACTACTTGGGAAGACAAATTGCCCTTCCTTCAATATATTTTTAGGTACTTCCCTTGTATGTTTCCCGGTGAAGCTCAAATCAGGCCAGGCAGCCCCAGGCCTCTTTCTCCTGACTCTCCTCTGACCTTTATGGGCTTGCTGGCCGGAGGAAAGGGAACTCAGCCGGCCCTCCCCACCTCCCACCCCGCTGGCTACACTTTGCTCACCGGTCGAGGTCCCATCCTCCTCCTCAAAGCCAATGTCCTCCCAACTTCCACATGCTTAGGGACTTCAGACATGACCCCTGAATAATGCCAGCAGCCCAACCTGCAAGAGGAAGGATCGGGACCGGTCAACTGGCATCCAAACCCGCTTCCCTATGCTCTCCCATGGAGGAAGGGGAAGGAAAGAGAGGGTGCAAGAAGAGAGAGAGAAAAGAGGGGGAAAGGGACCATGACCCACAATGCACTAGGGCTGACATGATATGGCCCAATCCCACAATGCGCTGGGGGGACTGTGGCTGCAACCCAAGTGCCCACGATGCACTGCCACCAGTATGGACCGGAGGGGATTCAATCCCATAATGTTCTGCAGCTGTCTGAACCACAAGATTTGGGGGGGGACCCGATCCCACAATGCACTGCGACTACTGGTAGGGGGTAGCGGACCGGGGGAGGGCATGCAAAAAAACACCCTGCCCCCATAATGCATTGCGCGCCCTAGCACTCACCGGTTCCTCCGGATTTGGGGAGGGGCAGCCCGGTCCCGTCTACCCACAGGACCCTAGCTGCGCAGGCGCAGACGGAGAAAGTGGGCGGGGTTCTCTCGGCGGTCTTGATTCCTTGCGCGTGCGCTGGACGACCGGGCGAAAACAACAGCAAGCGGGACTGCGCATGGGCGGGAGGGCGGAGAGGCCCGGAGGAGACTGGGCGTCGGGGCGCATGCGCCGCAGCGGACGGTCGTGGAGCGGTTCTGCGCGTGCTCAGTGTAAAAGTAATGGCAGAGGGTGATCGTCGGGTTGCTGGCAGGCGGTTCTGCGCGTGCGCTTATGAATGCACCGCGGGGTGCGGGGAACAAGGATAGGCGCCGGGAAATTAGTGGGTTTTGTAACACATTGTTTACTCGCAAGTAACTCCTCTTCTGTTCCAAGGGGCTTGCTCCTAAGTAAATATGCACAGGATTGCAGCCTTCCTTTTCTGCTTATCCCCCCCCCCCTTTCCCCTTCCAAGCAGGAACGAGAAGATACACCAGATTCAAGAATCTGGGGATGCCAAGCAACAGCCAGAGGCGTGCAAAAAACAACCACCACCCGGCTCTTGCTTCCGGCAGAACCGAGCCGGCGAGGTCTCCGTGAGCGTCCAGCGACGGCCGGTCTAAAGGGGCTGCTTTGCCTATAGGGCGGCCTCAAGCACAGAGAGACATGCCCATCAGAAGGGCGCAGAAGCATTGCCCGCCGGGCGCTTGGAATGCCGGAATGCCAACCTCCAGGTGGCACCCGGGGACACACACACCCCGAGAATTGCAGCTCAGACTAGAGAGATCCGTTCCTCTGTAGGAAATTGGATGCTTTGGAGGGTGGACGCTATGGCCCTGTACCCCACTGAGGTCCCTATCCTTCTCAGGCTCCATCCCCAAGTCTCCAGGAGTTTCCCAGCCAGGATCTGGCAACCCTACCCCGCCGCCTCCCGCTGGTGGCCAGGGGAGACCTAGCAACCCTACCCGGCACAGCTCCCTTCGAAGCATGGGAGCCCTACGGCGGAGGAGACGTTGGCAACTGCGGGGTGGGGGCAGTGCCGGATTTACGCATAAGCTAAATAAGCTACAGCTTAGGGCCTCGCAATCTGCTGGGGCCTCGAATAAAAACACAATATAAAAAATGATTTCAAATATTAAAAAGGCATATATATTTTAAATTTTTCTGAGACCAGCTGATGTAATTTAAAACAGTAGGGGGCCTCTGGGTTTTGTATAGCTTAGGGCCTCGGCAAGTCTAAATCCGGCCCTGGGTGGGGGGAGAGGTCTGGCCGGCAGGGGGCGCGGCTGTCGATGCGGGCGAGTGGGAATGTAGCGCTTTCGACCCGTGGCCGGCAGAGGGAGCTCGAGTGTTAGATTGGATGCGGGCCGCTGCTGGCGGCGGGTCGTTCTGTGCCGCTGGCGGCGCTTCGGGGAGCAGCGCGGCAGATGCGGCCGCTGGGGGCACACGGTGCACCGCCCTGCTCCCGTCGCTGCTGGCACACGCTGGAGCGGACTGGAATGGCTGCGGCGGGAGAAGCTGCGATCGTTGTCGAGGCGGAGGAGTCTTCCTCTGATTTCCTCCTTCAGCGTTTTCACCCTCTCCCTTCCTCCAGAGAGGCTTACGTGGTCACCCTTCTCACAACAACCCTGTGAGGGAGGTGACTGTGACTGGCTCCAGGTCCCCCAGTGTTGCTTCGCAGCAAGTGAGTATATGAGGCCGGGAAGAGTCTAGATGGGGGCTGACAGTTCTCCCAGAACAACAAATGGTCTACAGAAAACACTTTTCCCTGGAGAGGGGGAAATGGCAACTTCAGAAGGTTTACAGTGTAGCAGGGATCCTCAAGACGGTGCCCGTGAGCACCCACTGGTACCTGTCTGGTATGGGCTCCCTGCTTTCGGGAAAGTGGGTAGGGCCAGCAGCAGTGTTCCCTCTAAGCTGAGTTAGTGTGAGCTAGCCCGCAGTTTTTTAGCCTCCGGCTCACACGTTTTTGTCCTAACTCAGGAAGGATGGCTCCAGGGCAAACTGATTTATGCAGCAGCCAAATCGCTCGCTCACAACTTTAATGCCGGTCGCTCACAAAGTAGAATTTTTGCTCACAAGACTCCACAGCTTAGAGGGAGCATTGGCCAGCAGAGCTTCTGAGTGGCCGTTGGAGATCTGCTAGGTGAGTTTTTCTTTTCTCTCTCTCTCACTCCACTTATGTGTATAACAATATTTTATTTATTTACTTATCAGATTGGATTTTACTAGGCCACCCTTCCCTACAAAGTAGGGCTCAGGGCGGCTTACGACGAAATAGTAGACAAATCCCAATGTAAAAACTAAGTTAAAACAAACCAGTAAATACCGATAGATAAAAACAGCGTACGTACAATATACAAGATGGCGGACAGAATTCCAGCTCCCCAGCCTCCCGGCGGGAGGGGTTACGAGGGATGGGGAAATATATCAGAGTGCCAAAGGATGCCCTCGTCACTGTCCTCAACCGAAGACCCGGCAGAATGTCTCTGCCTTCCATGCCCTGAGGAAAGGTATCAACAGGGTGCTCATTCGAAAGAGAAATTGGATTTATACCCCGCCCTTCACTACCCGAAGGAGTCTCAGAGCGGCTTACAAACTCCTTTCCCTTCCCCTCCCCACAACAGACACCCTGTGAGGTGGGTGGGGCTGAGAGAGCTCTTGACAGAAACTGCTCTTTTTCAAGGACAGCTGTGCCAGAATTATGGCTTGCCCAAGGTCATCCAGCCAGGCGCAAGCGGAGGAGTGGGGGAATCAAACCCGGTTCTCCCCGATTAGAGTCCGCACACTTAACCACTACACCAAACTGGCTCTCTATTAAACAGAGCTTCTGCTTGAAATGCGAGTTACGCATTACCTCACTCCCTGGCGTTTTGTGATTGTCTCCGCCTCCCACGGCAGCCATTTTGTGGTTGCACCCACCACCCTGTGTCACAATTCCAAAGGTGCCCCAGGCTCAAAAAGGTTGGGGACCCCTACTCTATAACATCGTATCTCTGAAGAGCTCTGTCGCGAAGCTGCACCTTCTCGGCCTCTGCCCCCGAATCTCAAGGAATTTCCCAACCCGGAGTTGCCAGCCGGGGTCTCCCAAGCCACAACTTGGACCGCTGTGCCACGCTGCTCTCTGTTGCCGTTCAGAAGCCTGCATTCAAGGATGAGAGAAGAAGAAGAGATTGGATTTATACCCTGCTTTTCACTCCCTGAAGGAGTCTCAGAGCGGCTTACAATCTCCTTTCCCTTCCCCTCCCCACAACAGACACCCTGTGAGGTAGGTGGGGCTGAGAGAGCTCTCTCCAGAACTGCCCTTGAGAGAACAGCCCTGAAAGAACTTGTAACTGACCCAAAGTCACACCAGCGGCTGGATGTGGAAGAGTGGGGAATCAAACCCAGTTCTCCCAGATTTAGAGTCCATGCTCCTAACCACTACACCGAACTGGACAGACTAGCCAGAGGGTAAAAGATGCTGCACCAACACGCATCTCCTCGTGGCCTGCCTTTTTTGTGGCTTCTCGACCCCCATTCCCTCTGTGGCAAGATGCAGATATCTGCGGCGCCCAAAGACGGAAGCGGGTGAACCCGGCTGTATGCAGGGAGGCAAGCCCGGCCTTTCTGCCTGTCTCTCTAGCAGCATCTGCTCCTTAGCACAGTAACTGTGGGGGACCCCGCTCCACTCAAAGTGGGCTCTCAAATCCCCAACCCTTCCGTGAAGTCCCAGAGAAATACAGGATCCAGAGTCAGTATAGTAGCATCTCCCTCCCAGCAGAGATGAGCACACCAGTCCCATGGACTTTCAGCAAAGACCCAGACGTATTATTTGAGGATCGGCAGATGTGGCTGGAGACACCTCTGCGCTTCACTAGGAGTTAGTTTCTGGAAATGGATATCGGGAAGATTAAGAGCTAAGTGGAAGGCTTGTGCGATCAAATAATCAACCTCTCAGCTTGTCTTTGGGTTTAGCTCCTTCGCGAGTCTCTGAAAGGATCGCCGAGTAACTGGGGCCTGCCTGAAAGCAATCAGTGCGTTCGTTTCAGAATGACGGTGTTGCAAAAATTGCCACAGAGCTGCCCAAAGTGAGTAGGGCTGGCATGAAGGGGACACATCCAGTCTCTGCTGAAGGCACAACGGGTTGAACGCACCTTGCGGCAGAGGATTCATCGACGTTGGACTTTGTGGGAAGTGAGGGGCTATATCGCTCTACTGCCGGTTTGGTGTAGTAGTTATGAGCGTGGACTCTAATCTGGGAGAACCAGGTTGGATTCCCCACGCCTCTACATGCAGCTGCTGGTGTGACCTTGGGTCAGCTACAAGCTCCTTCAGAGCTGTTCTCTCACAAGCAGTCCTCAAAAGAGCTCTCTCAGCCCCACCTATCTCACAGAGTGTCTGTTGTGGGGAGCCAGTTTGGTGTCGTGGTTAAGTGCACGGATTCTAATCTGGGAGAACCAGGTTTGATTCCCCACTCCTCCACTTGCAGCTGCTGGATGACCTTGGGTCAGTCACAAGTTTTCTCAGAGCTGTTCTCTCAGGAGCAGTTCTCCGAAGAGCTCTCTCAGTCCCACCTACCTCACAAGGTGTCTTTTGTGGGGAGGGGAAGGGAGTTTGTAAGCTGCTCTGAGACTCCTTTGGGTAGTGAAGGGTGGGGTATATATCCAATCTCCTCCTTCCTCTTTCACTCAAACGCATATCCCATAAGGTGAGCAGGAGAGTCCATCCTAATGCCTTCTGTCTTCACAGCAGATATGCATTATCTTCTTGTAATCCCTGCAAAGTGGACCGATATTACTACCTCTGAAATGCAGATGAGAAGGAGGTGCTGCTTCTCTCTCATCTGCACACCTAAAAAGCACGCTTCCTCCAAAGTCAAGCTTTCTGGGATGAATGGGGCGCCTACCTAACCCTTAGCAACAAGAACGAAACTCCCCATATGAAGGGGGGGGGAGGCATTCGGCAAGAGCATGAAAAGCAAGCAGGGAATTTTCCACCGCCTCTTTAAGAGAGCAAAGGAGGAGAGGGGGGGTGTTCGGAATGAGGATGATGTCATTCTCCTGGGGGTCACATGGGGCGCCTGGTTGCTACAATGAAGTCAGCTTGGTTTTTATATCTCCCCCCCCCTCCCTCCACACACACACACAGAGGCAAGCAGAGGCGTGGAATATAATCCACCGATGGGAACACTCCGCTCGTGTTTTTACAGGCTCGGTCAGGGCTCAGACAACATTTCACATCACAAGAGAAGGGAAATTCTGGCTGCTCTTGGGGGGGAAAGGAGCTTTGCGGGATCACCACCAACAGCGCGACCGGCTTCTGAGTGACACATACCGATGCTCATGCGGATTCTGGGCCCCATCCCGGAAGGCTAGCCAGACAGACATTCCTTCAGGGTGTTTTCCTTGCAACAGGTTTGCAGGCGTGTTAGAACCAGGCGTTGCAGAAACTTGGGGGTTCAGTGAGCCTGGGGTCTTTCTGTTTTTCTATGCTATTCAGGTATTGCTATAACCAGGGGTCATTTCCTGCAGGAGCGCACAGGAGCGGAGCTCCGGCAGTAAAGAGCCCAGGGGGCGGGCACATGCAACAAGCCCCACCCCCCTGCTCCCAGCAGCCGTCAGTCAGAGCAAGAAGCAGACAGGTAAGTTGCAGAGCTCCCCCCGGCCCAAAACAGTCCAGTGGTACCTTTTAAGACCAAGTTTTATTCAGGTACAAGCTCTCCCTCCTATGTGAGGACAGATCTGCACGTCCCCCCCCCCCCACTAGCTAGCAATCCAAAATAGTCCAGTGGAGCCTGAGCGGTGGGTGTTGCCTTCTGACACACGTCCAGTGGTGTCAGGGGGTGTGGCATATGCAAATAAGTTATGCTAATGAGTTATGCTAATGAGCTCCTGCACCTCTTTTTGTACAAAATGACCCCTGGATAACTGACTTTGGTTTCTTGGTTCAGAAGTCCCAGAAGCCTTTGCTCTTTTGCTGGCAGCCTAGGCGTAACAACGAAAGCCTTGCCCTGTAAGATGTACCTTTGCCTGAATCCACATTCCCCGGCCTTCCGAGAGCCAGGCTCCAAAGCCTGAACATCTCTGTCTAGGCCTTGTTGAGATCGCAGTTAATAAAACATATCTGGGGCTGAAGGTCATACTAGCGAAGGTTCATTGTACCAGCGTAGGATGGGCTGGTGTTTGGCAAGTTTGGTATGTTTTTAATTGACTCCTCCCTTGATTCCTATTGGCTGAAAAGAGAATAAAAAGAAGGCTTTGGGCTTTTAAGGGGCTGTTTGGCCAACACCCCACCTAGGATTGAGGGGGGTCTTGGTCCACAGTCCAGGAATTCCTTGTTCTTTCTGAAGTGTACACTATATCAGGTATTGGGATTTTTCTATATGCTGTTGGGTATTGGTATTGATAGTTATGTATGGCTGTAAGAGTTGGACCATAAGGAAGGCCGAGTGCCGAAGTATAGATTCTTTTGAATTATGGTGCTGGAGAAGACTCTTGATAGTCCCTTGGACTGCAAGGAGATCGAATCAGTCAATCCTAAAAGAAACCAACCCTGACTGTTCCCTGGAAGGCCAGATCCTGAAGCTGAAGCTCAAATACTTTGGCCACCCAATGAGAAGGGAGCACTCACTGGAGAAGACCCTGATGCTGGGAAAGACTGAAGGTCAAAGAAGACGGGGACGGCAAAGGATGAGATGGTTAGACAGTGTCACCGATGCAACGAACATGGAATTGAGCAAACTTCAGAGGACGGCGGAAGACCGGAGGGCCTGGCATGATGTGGTCCATGGGGTCGTGAAGAGTCGGACTCAACTGTGCGACTGAACAACAACAACAACATTGATATCGGATATATGCCAGTTTGGTGTAGTGGTTAAGTGCATAGACTCTAATCTGGGAGACCCGGGTTTGATTCCCCACTTCTCCACATGCAGCTGCTGGTGTGACCTTGGGTCAATCACAAATTCTTTCAGAACTGTCCTTGAAAGAGCAGTTCTCTCAGAGCTCTCTCAGCCCCACCTACCCCACAGGGTGTCTGTTGTGGGGAGGGGAAGGAGTTTGTAAGTTGTTTTGAGATGGGGTGAAGGATGGGGTATTAATCCAATCTCCTCCTCCTCTTCTTTTTCTTCTTCTTCATCTTCTTCTTATTCAGAGTCTCTGAGCAGCTTACAATCCCTTTCCCTTCCCCACAACAGACACTCTGTGAGGTAGGTGGGGCCGAGAGAGCTCTTGAGATAACTTGTGACTGACCCAAGGCTGCATGTGGAGGAGCGGGGACTCAAACCCGGGTCTCCCAGATTAGAGTCCGCGCGCTCCTAACCACTGCACCAAACTGGCTCTCGTGTATGGTTTTAGAGTTAATAAATACTTTTCGTTTAAGGCAACTGTTCTTGCTGTGTTTCTCTCCCTCTGGAGGCCTAAGTTCCCTAGCCAGACTCCACACACCCACAAAAAAGAGCTGTAATAGGGTTGGGGATCCCTGGAAGAGGCCTGGGCCCTAGAATTCCCCTACACCAGGCCTGGAAACGAACTGGTTTGGACCTGAAGATAGCAGAAGTGTGATCCCTGGTAGCCTAAGGAATGTCCAGTCCGGGCCTCTTGTATGTCTTTCAAAGGAGCATCAAGGAAGGAACCGGCTGCATGGGGCCAACAGGATATCTCCCTACACAGTCACAGTGAGACATGAAATGTGGCGCCTAGCAAAAAGGGAACGAGTGGGGTAGAGTTTTTCACGGAATTATCCAGAAAATGCCACCTCACTGTTGTGGGTGGTCTTCTGGGAGCCTCGCACCCCGGTCCGTGGTGGTGGGGGATTTCTCCACTCCTCCACTTGCAGCTGCTGGATGACCTTGGGCAAGCCATCGTTCTGTCAGAGCTGTCCTCTCCAGGGCAGTTCTGGAAAGAGCTCTCTCAGCCCCACCTACTTCACAGGCAATGCTCCCTCTAAGCCGTTGGCGTCTTGTGAGCGAAAAATTCCACCTTGTGAGCTACTGGCCAACCACCTCTGGGCGACTTTTGCCTGGAACACCCCATGGGGTTTGTTATGTTCTGAGTTATTTCTAAGCTGTTTAGTGATGGCTTGTGCTAAGGTATCCTAGTTTCCTCTGTCGTGATTGGCTGCGTAATAAAGACCTTCTAGTGGTCCTAAAGCCGTACAGAGTATCCTATCAGAAAGATCCGCTTAGGTCCAATCAGACCTCATGAAAGTAGTTACACTGTATATAGTTCAGTTTGGAACAGTCTAAGTTTGGACGCCGCTCTTCACAGAGTCAGATTAGAGCGGAGTAACGTTCTGAATAAAAGCCTTGCATTGATAATCATCTCCCACCTTTCAATACATAAAAGGGGTCTCCAAAAGTCAGCCGCAACTTGACCACGCTTTCCACCATCCAGTTATCCATCTCCGCGGAGCCTCCCGTATGCACCCCGCACTAGCTACTCAACCACGTCTGCAGCACTTTTAAATTGGGTTTAAAATTGGATCGCATTCACCCTTCGTTCAAGGTTGCCAACAGGCAGCCTGGAGAAAAATGACCCGTCCCTTTTCACAGAGGATTCATTTGCAGAAACTGGAAGTTGACGCTTTTCGGGTTAGGGAGGTAAATAGCATCCCATTAATGCCTCTACGAAAGGTTCATGATTATTATTTTATTCCAGGCCAGCCGGCAGCCTTAGAGCTGAGACGTGGCATATTCTCCTGACAGCAAGATCGGAATCTAGCCCCCTGCCCTTTGCTATCCGAGGTTGCCAACTTCCTTACCGATAGCCTGCTCCTCTGCCTTTAGTGGAGGCAGTGCTAAGGAATGCAACGTGGCTACGAAAAGATGACTTTGGATGTCCCTGGTTCCAAACTCGCCTGGGCTGTAGACTCCCGAGGTGATAATCCTTTCTGCACCCCTTCCGGTCTGCAAAAGGGAACGTCGAGGAAATGCCCGTTGCTCAAACAGCATTGCGGGATTTGACCAAGTCCCGGTTCTCAACCACATCTCGCCCGATGTCTCTCAAAGTGCCCGAGCATGGCCCTGAGGCAAGGCTGGCCCATCTTCTCACATACATTCCCAGCATCTGGTACTTAGAGGTACACTGCCTCTGTCCATGGAGGTTCTATTTCCTGGTCACTTGTCTCCATATTTTCCACAAAGCTCTCTAAACCTTTTAAAAAGACAGCTAAGATGAAGAAGAAGAGAAGAGATTGGATTTCTACCCCGCCCTTCACTACCCAAAGGAGTCTCAGAGCGGCTTACAATCCCATCCCATTCCCACAACAGACACCCTGTGAGGTAGGTGGGGCTGAGAAAGCTCTCCGGAGAACTGCCCTTGAGAGAACTGCTCTGAGAGAACTTGTGACTGACCCAAGGTCACACCAGCAGCTGCCCGTGGAGGAGTGGGGAATCAAACCCGGTTCTCCCAGATTAGACTCCGCGCTCCTAACCACGACACCAAACTGGCTCAAATCTCCGTCAATCAGATCTCTGTCAGTCGCTTTCATCTGTGCTACACCGAAGTTAATAATACATGTTTTCAAATGAGAGAGAGAGAGAGATTAGTTTCAGCTTGCCAGAGACACGCAGAGCCCTCCCAGGAAGAAAAGAAGAAAGGGCGGGGGCAACCTGCGGGCCTTGTCCAGCTTGCGACTTGGCCGAGCAGGGATTCGGAGGTCAAACCTCCTGGCGCACGCTCCTCTTAGATGAAGGCCCGAAAGCACACTGCACGCCTGGACCCGATGTCGCACTTCCCGTGGAGCCTGCTGTTCTTAGCCGTGCATGGCGCCTTTTCATCTTCACTACCCCAGGCTTCCTCTCGTTGGTACATGTCTTCTGTTCCCCTCCAGGGAGTTTCCACAGGCTTTGCTCAGGCTGCTTGCAAGCCAGCCGGGCTCCTTGATCTCCGGCGCTGTGGGTTAAGAGCGAACAGTGCTCACCCTGAGGGCGGGGAGTGCCCCACTGCTTCACAGACAGCTCTGCCTTCCCACTGACCTAGATCTGCTCAGGGAGCTTTCCGTGGGTTCTGTTCGACAGGTGTTTCTCCGTGCCAGGCTGTACGGCTCACGATTCCGCCGAGTTTGCGCGACAGTGGCCGACTTCTTTGCAGGTTCTATTCCCGTGCTGGTTTTCCAGGGATAGGGGAAGAAGAAGAATAGATTTGATTTATATCCCACCCTTCACTGCCCGAAGGAGTCTCGGAGCAGCTTACAATCATTTTCCCTTCCCCACAACAGACACCCTGGGGCTGAGAGAGCTCTTTCGAGGACTGCCCTTGAGAGAACAGCTCTGAGAGGACTTGTGACACAGCAGCAGCTCCATGTCGAGGAGTGGGGAATCAAACCTGCTTCTCTCCCAGATTAGAGTCTGCACTCTTAACCACTACACCAAACTGGCAATGTGAAAAGAGCTTCAAGTGGCCCAGGAGCAGAGCCGCTGAAACAGTCGGCAAGCCTGTTATTCGCACCCATCTCCTTCTTCCTGTCATGCACGAGGTGATACCCGTTTGATGTAGGTTAAATTGAGAGAGAGAGACTGGCTTCAGTTACCCAGCAAGCTAGTCTTGGATTCTAATGCAGGGTCTCCCCAGCCTAAGCAAGCCCATAGCTACAGTGGGGCTTTGGGGGCTCTGCCCCTTTCTTAAAGGCACAGCCCCACACGAATTTCTCTTGTACATGCTTTTTTCAATCATTTATAAACATTTTTTTTTAAAGGTGTGTGGTCCCTTAAGCAGAGTGTGGTGCTGTAGTTGACTAATTCCCGCACTGAGCAAGGGGGGTTGGAGTAGGTGACCTCTAGGCCCCCTTCTAACTGTGTCATGAAATTGGTCTCCTTTAAGAGAGTTTTCCTGCCTAAGTGTTGGCCGTCTTGACTATAGAAGTCATCACCCCCACCTGCCGGCTTGTGATCAGAATTGTTGCCAAATTTGGCCGGCAGAAGTGATTAAGTTGCAGTGGCTGACAACTGTCATCTAAAGCGGTGGACAGCTTGCAATTTAGTGATCTCTCCTGGGAACAGCTTTCTATTGGCTGAATAGCTTTTCCTTCTGCACCGAGAGCTCCAGCCCCACCAGAAAACAATTTGCCCCACCAGCCACAAAATCCTGGCTACAGGCCTGAGTCTAAGTCTGTATTTGCTATAACATGCCGGGCCTTCATCGTCCAAATTTATGCGTGTGACTCATTAGAGAAGGGAAAGCAGGGCAGCCTTATGCACACTTTACCCATCCTTTGCTCCATGTCCTCTCTGGCATCCTTCTGGTCTCCCAGGGCTTCAGTTTCTTATCCTTGTAAATCTGTGACCAGCATGTGCTTCTTCTTTTTTTAACCTGGTGCCAAAAGGTGTCAGAGTTGATGCCAGATGCCAATAAATAGTCTACTTCAGGGGTGTCAAACATAAGGAGGAGGAGGAGATTGGATATATACCCCGCCCTTCACTACCCAAAGGAGTCTCAGAGCGGCTTACAAACTCCTCTCCCTTCCCCTCCCCACAACAGACACCCTGTGAGGTCGGTGGGACTGAGAGAGAGCTCTTCGGAGAGCTGCTCCTGAGAGAACAGCTCTGAGAGAGCTTGTGACTGACCCAAAGTCACACCACCAGCTGCATGTGGAAGAGTGGGGAATCAAACCGGGTTCTCCCAGATTAGAGTCCGTGCACTTAACCACGACACCAAACTGGCTCCCCACAACAGACACCCTGTGAGGTCGGCGGGGCTGGGAGAGCTCTGACGGAAACGGCTCTTTTTCAAGAACAGCTGTGCCAGAACGATGACTTGCCCAAGGTCACCCAGCAGGTGCAAGTGGAGGAGTGGGGAATCAAACCCGGTTCTCCCGGATTAGAATCCGCGCACTCAACCACGACACCAAACTGGTCCGTCCAGGGTTCTTATGTGGCCCGTGAGCAACTGATGCAAGGGAGTGGATGCTGGGGGGGGGATGATCGGAGCCACTCCATTGTGGCTTCGGCACGGCAGAACAACCTCGTCTGCAGCGGTCAAGCATCGTGGGAGCTTCTGCCCAGTGCTGCAACTACTGCCTCTCCAGTCCGCCCCTGTGGGTTTTCCTTTACAGCCCCTCCCAGCCCAGGGGGCCTTGCCGCGAGGACACACCGGCTCAGAGCTTACCATCTGCTGTGCTTCATACAGTTTCTCTCTCTGGTACCTGGCATTACATTTTATGGCACACACAGCCCAGCCCGATAGAGTGACATTTATGTCAGATCCAGCCCCTGTAACAAATGAGTCTATTTATTTATTTATTTATTTATTATTTACATTTCTATCCCACCCGCCCCAGAGGCTCAAGGCGGCTTACGAGGCATATTGCCAGATAATACAATAGAACAATGGAAAACATTAAAATATTAAAATACATCACAGTAATGCACAAATGTTGGTGCTCCTCTCCTAAAAAGAAGATGGCCGTCCCCTAAAACGTCCCATTCTCACCCAAGGTGCCCGCAGAAATCATGGGGCGTTGGTGGTACCATGACGATGGCGGCTCCTATTCAAAAGCCTGGTGGAAGAGCTCCGTCTTGCAGGCTCTGCGGAACTGTGCTAGGTCCCGCAGAGCCCTGATCTCCTCTGGGAGCTCATTCCACCAGATAGGAGCCACCACCGAAAACGCCCTATTCCTGGTCATGACGAGTTTGATGGACCGGGGACCTGGCATGTCCAGTAAGTTCTGGTTCCCCGACCGTAGTGCTCTTGGGGGAACATGTGGGGAAAGGCGGTCCCTTAAGTAGGCTGGTCCCTGGCCATATAGGGCTTTAAAGTTCATGTTGTTTCAGAAATCAAATGTATCTGTCTGTCTGCGTGTGTATTTCTTTCATGGCTCGTAAGGTCGCATCTTTAGGATGTGAGAGATCCCCTTACAGGTTTGTATCAGTCTTGAAGAAAGGGGCCGCGTGATTGATTCTCCCCTCCCCAGTTTGGTAACCTGGCCTTCTACACGTGACCCCCAAACACAGGAGAGATGTGTTTCACAAGAAACCGGCTGCCAGAGTTCCACAGAAAGGGCTCTGTTGAGGCAGATCCGCGTCCCCGCTTCATTCTGAAGCATCCCCTGGGAGACCGGAATAGGTCCTGGCGCACCTTTGAGGAAACGTGAGCCAACGCAAAGCTGTGTGCAACCCCGCACGCTTGGCCAGCATTCCCGCGGCAGGGACTCGTCACAAAAGCCCCGCATCACCCCCTCCCACGGTGCTCTGTGACATCATAGTGACTAAGAGCTTGTGGACAAGATTTGCATCAGCAGGTGAGCTGCCTGCTTCGGACGGTGGGCGTCACAGCCAAGTATGCTGCCACATCGATAGATAGACGAACATCTCGGTGGCCCTAAGCCGCTCCCCTTCTTAACTGGTCAGTTCCTCTCTCGCTGTTGGTGGGCAGTAATGAAGGTTGTCAGTGGTTAATGGTTTTA